CTCCTGCACCACCGTGCCGCCGAGCTGCCCGGCCCGCTTGAGGCGGTCGATCGGCTCCTGTTCCTCCATCACGGCCGCCTGGGGGCAAGCGTGTGGGCTTTCGTCGTGGGGCCGGGCGGGCGGGCGGGAGCGGGGGCGGGGGCGGGGGACGGCGCGGCGGCGCGCGATGGGCCGTGCGCTCGTGCCGCAGCACATCGAAATGGCGGAGCGCGCGTTGCTGGGCGCGCTTCTGTGGGGTGCGCATGTGGGGTGCGTGAGGTGCTGCTGCTGTTGGTGTGCCTGAACTCACCATGAAACCGGCGGCAACCTCCCGTGCAAACGAAACCGCCATCGTGTCTCGAGCACACGCGCCGCTGCTTTCTGATCGCGTGCGCGCTTGCTGCGGCCTCCAGTGCAATGGAACGGCGCGATGCCTCAACGTGATAAGGGCCGACTTATATATGCGAGTGGACCCTGATTACAAGCACTGCCATCCCGCGGCCCGGGTGTCACAAGGTTGCCAGGAAGAAGCGATAAGGTACAGCTCCAGCTTGTCACTATACATAGAGTTCAGATCAACTGGAAGCACAACAACATACAACCTCAGAAAACGCCTGTAGTGTGCCAAATCAAAAGGGTAGTGTAGAGACAAGTGATCTCATTCACGCTCACTAGCCCCACAATAATGTTCACGCTCTGAACGAAACCCTCATATTGCTTGTTTGTGATTTGTGCCACAGCTGACGTGGAGGCTTCAACCTCCCACTACATCCAACCTCCGCGGTCACCACCGGCTCACCGGCTATTAAAGCCTCATTGCCTAGGATTTGATACTTGGGTGAGCAATATCACCCTGGCACCGGGCTATGACTCCCCTCGGGCGCCCGGTGGCTGACAAGGACGAAGCTGGGCTGAGCTCCCAACAACTGCATCGTTTGGCCGCGTTCTCCCGCACAGTTGCTGCAGAGACGGGGGCCCAGCAAGTCTGAACAGTGGCGTCAGCACTTGCTGTGTCAGGCGAGACAGGCAGCGACCTGAGCGGCTGACGGACCACTGGCGCGCGCCGCGCGCCTGGCATGCTCCACGCCCGGCTGCACTGCCAACGAAGCCTCAGCGGCAGCAGCAGCACCAGCAGCAGCAGCAGCAGCAGCAGCAGCACCAGCAGCAGCAGCAGCAGCAGCAGCAGTAGCCTGGGCCTTGCCCGGTTCCCAGGCGCCAGCGTACGCCCACACCCAAGCGACCCACGCCCGGCCCCACCGCGTGCGGCAGCGCACGCCGCGCCGGCGCCCGCGCCTCAGCAAGCACAGCAGCGGCGAGAGCGGCGCGCCGCGCCCGCCTGGCTGCGTCCGCCTTGCGGGGCCTTCCTCTTCCTGTCCCAAAAGCTCGCACATCGCGAAGCGGCGGCGACTTCTTTTGCAACCCCCGCTGCCAAGCGCGTCGCGGCGGCGGCAGCAGCTGTGTCCGGCGGCATGGCGTCACCGCCGGCAGTAGAGTGCGTGGCGGCAATTGACCAGGGCACGCAGTCGACGCGGGTCTTCCTATTTGATTCGAACGGCGAGGCGGTAGCTTCCCACCAGGTCTCGCTGCCGCAGATTTACCCAAGGGCCGGGTGAGACGGGAAGGCCTCGGTGGAGACAGGAACGCGTTACGGCAGACGCGCGATTTGAAATCGGCGACAGCTGTCGCGGCTGTGGGGCCTGTTGCGGCGGCATCTGATGTGCATGATGCCGGCGCTGCAGCACCGCTCCACCAAAGGCGCGGACGGCGCGCGGCAGCCCCGCAGGGCCAGGCGGCCCTGCCCCCTGCGGCGCGTCGAGCGAACCCCCAGCAGTCGCACTACAAACAGCGAACCTCCCCTCCTCTCTGCTTTGTGATCACCACCATCTCACAACCCTCCTCTCGACTTTGAGCCGCTCTCTGCCATCATATCTGTGACGTCGACCAATCTCCAACATGAAGGTGGTGTGAGCACGAACCCCAGGAGATCTGGCGGACGGTGGAGGCCTGCATTTCGGGGGCGCTGGCGGCAGCTGAGGAGAAGCTGGGGCGCCCAGTGGAGGTCAAGGCCCTGGGCATTACTAACCAGGTGGGTTCGGGCGGAGGCCCCCCCTTAGTAAATGGCAGGCGGAGATTGGGGACCGGCGGCTGGGTTCTGTCTTGAGAGCATGCGTTGCGCTGGTAAGAAGCCCGTCGCGGGCTTCTCGGAGGCAATGAGCAGCTGCATGGCTCGCCAGCGCGCTCGCATTTTTCTGCAGATTGCGGACAGTGATCTTTTGATGGTTTTGCCGACCGGCGCCGGCTTGCCGCCAACGCTTTAGCCCCTCGCTCCCGCGTCGTGCGTTTGCAGCGCGAGACGACGGTGCTGTGGCGCAGGAGCACGGGGCAGCCGCTGCACAACGCCATCGTGTGGCACGACAACAGGACCAGGCAAGAGCCCTCTGGGCAGCTGCCCCCGGGGCTATGGGGTTGGGACTCGGCTGGGGCCCCCCTGGCGCAGAGCGGAACTCCGACAGTCGGGCGTACCAGGATGGGTGACCTCCGGTGGGACCCGTCCCAGCCTGATGGCTGCAGGCTCGGCTGCCGTCCCTTGATTGCTGCCTCATAAAAGCACCACACCTGACGTGACCGATGAGCCAAAACTCAACTTGGGCCGATATTTATGCCCCACTCGCCCCACCATGCAGCGAGATCTGCCAGCGTCTGGTGGAGTCGCTGCCTGGCGGCAAGGACCACTTCCGTCCTGTGACGGGGCTGCCCGTGTCGACCTACTTCAGCGCATACAAGGCCCAGTGGATGGTGGAGCACAGCGAGGAGGTGAGGGGGGGAAGGGTTATAATGTGTATGCGTGTGTGTGTGTGTGTGTGTGTGTATGGGCGCGTGCGCGCATGTGATGCGAGAGGTTTTGTTGCAAGGTGAGCGTTGCAAGGAGGCCTTTGGGGCACTGCATCGAGGCGGGCCTCTGCGGGGTACAGGTGAGCGCACCCAACCGCGACTCCCGGCCCCCATCTCCGGCGAGGCGTCGCTCGTGCGGCGCAGGGGCGCGCCGCCCGACCAACGGCCCCCTCGTTTCCGGACCCACCCCTGCGACCCCCGCTCATCGACCCAAATATCCTACGCCCTGCGAAATTCCCCATCCGCGCACCCGTTCCCCCCTCCCTCAAATCAACCGCGAACCCCTCAGGTCCGCGCCGCCATCCTCGAGGGCGACGCCCTGTTTGGCACCGTCGACAGCTGGATCATCTACAACCTCACCGGCGGCGCCGCCGGCGGCGGCGTGCACGTCACCGACGCCTCCAACGCGTCCCGCACCAACCTGCTGGAGCTGGGCAGCCGCCAGTGGCACGCGCCGACCGTGGAGCTGTTTGGGCTGGACCCCGGCATGCTGCCGCGCGTGGCGTCGAACTCGGAGGTGGTGGGGCGCGTCAAGGCGGGGCCGCTGGCGGGCGTGGCGATATCGGGTGCGATGGGGGGGCCGGGTGCAACGGGAGGGAGAGCGGCTTTAGTGGGGTTTAGCATGGTCAGGAGGCATCGCGAGCGGACAGATTGTGGTCGCGGCCTAGGTGACGAAGGGTGAATGTGGTCCACCTGGCAAGGCCGGCGTTTTAAATGATACTTGGCACCACGCCTCGGCGTGCCCTCGCACGCTGCACTCTGCCGAGCAGGCAACTAGACCGCATGCCGCTGCAGCCCTTCACGTCCTTGCCCCTCAGATCGCCCCTGCAAAGCGTTCGCACGCTGTTCAACCGCTCGTCCCTTTCCATCACCCGCCCCTCAAAGCTGAGAAGCACATGCCCCTGAAATTACACGCACACTCTGTCCCAAAACAACACATGCACGCAAAGGTTGCCTTGGCGACCAGCAGGCTGCGCTGGTGGGGCAGCGGTGCGGCCAGGGGGAGGCCAAGAATACATACGGCACCGGCTGCTTCATGCTGCTCAACACAGGTGGGCCGTTGGAATAAAGTAATCATTCGGCAGGGGTGGACGGGTGGCGGTGTGTGCGCGCGCGCGTGTGTGTGTGTGTGTGTGTGTGTGTGTGTGTGTGTGTGTGTATGCGTGTGTCGTGCTGCCAGGGCGACGGTGAGATTGCACAGGAGGAGCAGCGGGAACAGGGCAGCGGCGCGCCAAGCTACGCCTCAGCAACATCTCTCTCCCCTGTGTAGATAAGCTGGTTTTCCTGGTGACGTCTGCACCAGCACACGCAGGGCTGACGTCATCCCGCCTGGCCCCACATCTCTCACGGCCTGCTTGCCCCAGGCGCCGAAATCGTGCCCTCTACCCACGGGCTGCTGACCACGTTTGCGTACCAGCTGGGGCCCCGGGCCGCGCCCCACTATGCCCTGGAGGGGTCCATCGCGGTGGCGGGCCTGGGCATCAGCTGGCTCAAGGACAACCTACGGCTCATAGGTGGGGGGCATGGGGATTGATGTTTAGGGTTGTGGGGTTTCGGCGCCGGGGGAGTGGTGCCCATGGGCTGGGGGATGGGCGCCCGGGAAGTTTGGAATGAGCGCCCGGGGCCTGGGGGTTGCCAGCTACCACGACACCTGGACTGCTGATGATGAGACGGGGCACAGCAGGAGAAGAGGCAGGCGTGGATTCGGCCGGCCCTCCAAGTGGGCTTGCCGCTCTTGATTATGGTCATGGGGAGGTTGTGCGGGTGGGAATAACTCTGATTGAAGTAACATGTTTGCATCGAATTCACACAGAGGAGGCTGCGCTTGCGCCGCCTTCTCCATCCTGGCTGCGTGCAGAGGGCGGACTCTCCCGCATTCTATGCACCTCCTCCGTCCCCGGGCGTCCGCCCCCCAACCGACAACCGACCCACCAACCGCCGCGCCCGACAGACAGCGCCGACGAGAGCGAGGCGCTCGCCGCCAGCGTGCCGGACACCGGGGGCGTCTACTTTGTGCCGGCGTTCAGCGGCCTGCTGGCGCCGCACTGGGAGGAGGAGGCGCGCGGCGTGCTGCTCGGCCTGACGGGTGCGGCCGCGCGGCGATGGGCCGTAACCGCCCGCCCCCCCCTGCAGGGGCGAGGCCAGGGCCGGCCGGGGACGGGGTGCGGGGGCAGAGCACCGAGGGGCGCCAGGCAGCACATGTGGTGGTGGTGGTCGTGGCGGCGGCGGCGGTGGCGGCGGTGGCGGTGGTGGTGCGACCCTGGGCTTGATTGTGCTGGTTGAGCCGGCACAGAGGGGCCAGGTCCAGCTTTCAAGCAACAGCTGCCTGGGTCGGATGCGGCGGCGCGTTGAAACCTCGGACGCACGCCGCGCCTGGGGTTGCAGACGAGCCGCTCTGCGCAGCACAGCAAGTCCCTGCACCCTGGCCAGCCTCCCCACCCATTCACCCACGCCCGGCTTGTGGCCCACTTGTCCGCTGACAGAGTGGCAGGGCTGCAGTCACAAACCTCTTCCAAACACACACACACACACACACACACGCACTTACACACACACATCCTTCTACACACACGCGTGCACGTGCGCGCCCAGGCTTCACCACGCGCGCCCACGTGGTGCGGGCCCTGCTGGAGGCGATCTGCTTCCAGACGCGGGAGGTGCTGGACGCAATGAGGGCAGGTGAGACAGGGGCACCCCCGCAGCTTCGTTGAAGCTGCGCTTCGGCTTTGGGGGGATGCATGCTCCTTGCCGAGCGAGGGTGTGCGCGCGGCACTCTGTGGACTCCTTTCCATCACTCTATTTGATGAGCTCACTGTCTGGGCGGGAATCTGGTGTGCAAATGATTTAGCAAGCCATAGGATACAGGTTCACTTTTTAAAGGGTGATGAAGAGCCAGCCCGCGGGCATGGCTGATTCAGGGCGTGGACGTGTGCTCGCTTGTGACAAAGGCGAGGCATCCACGCTCCGCCTGCCGCCCCCCCCCTCTCGTCCCCTTTGCCCTACCCCCTCACTCCCCAAGACGCTGACGTCAGCCACATGTCAGTGCTGAGGGTGGACGGCGGCGCCGCGAAAAACGACCTCCTCATGCAGCTGCAGGTGAGGGCAGGTGCTGGTTGGAGACAGCAGCATGCAGGGGCCGCCTGAATGGAAGGCATTGTCGGCTGCTCTGCAAGGCCAACGACACTCTTTCGCATCCGCTCCGCTTTCTAAGCATTCATGGGCCGACAAGGGGTGTCTCCCAAAAAAGCGCGTGCTGCGCTGGCACAGTCCGTCGACGTCCTGACAATTGAACCCGCCCAGACGGCTTTGCCTACTTCTGCTGAGTGCATCGAAGCGTCCTCCCACAAGCACTCCCCCACCACTCCCCACTACTGCCCTGCTCATCCTGATGCTCGCCCCCCACACAATCCCATCCCAAGGCGGACATCCTGCACGTGGCGGTGTCGCGCCCCCACTTCCAGGAGACCACCGCCCTGGGGGCCGCCCTGGCCGCTGGCCTGGCGGTGGGGTTCTACTCTGAGTCCTTCGTGCTCACCCACCCGCCGAACAATAGCACGGCCTTCATGCCTGGTGGGCGGCGGTCGGGGTTTTTCAAGGCGGAGGTGGTGGTTGGAATGTTGAGGCACAGGAGGGCCACGATAGGGTGTGGCTTCAGGGACGACCATTCGTTGTTTTGTGATACAGATCTGGGAAGGACGGGGGGAGCGGTCGAAGTGAGCGCGCTGCGAAATCCGCTCTTTCGCGTTTGATGCCACGCGCGTCTCATCCGCGCCCTCTGCCCCGCAACGCAGCGGTCTCCCGAGACGCGTCCGAGAAGCGGTATGGCCACTGGCGCAAGGCCGTGAGCCGCAGCCTCGCGCTCGCTGACCTGGCGGAGTGAGGCGCCAGCAGACGGTGCTCGGCAGCGGGTGCTGCACACTCGAGCCGGTCGGCATTGGGGAGTGCCACTGGACGGGTGCAAAGCGGACGGTGGTACGGTCTGTTACGGTCGGTCCCCAGCTCGGCGTGGCTGCTGGGCTCGGTGCGGCAATTTGCATGATATGGTGCTCGTGCACCGCTGTATTCGGGCGTGTCGTGGAAATTGACCTTTGTTTATTTGAATTGGCGCCCGCCCGAGCGTGCTGCCAAACCCTGTCTGATGGTTGTGCCCTGAAAGCGCTGCATTATTTCAGCTGTCGGGGCGGATCGCGCTTCCTTGCTTCTGCTCAGGCCACCTTCATCGTGATCTTGCTACAGCTGAGCGCATGTAATACCTACACGTGAGGTCATGCTTTACTGCAGCACAGGGAGGTCTGACGGCGACATGTTTAATCTGCTGGCCAAACAAGTTGTAACAGAGTTTTGGGAATCATGAATCCAGCGAAAAAGCACAATGATTGTGTCTAATTGTATGCATTGAACAATGACATGATATACACCATTGTGGGGCCAGTTGCCAAAACACTCAATTCCAAATGGGTCAAGAGTACGTGCTCAGAATGCTACTCCCTGACGCATTTCGTTTGAGCATTTTTATTTCATTTAATTCGGCTTTGATGCCTCTGGAAGCACCTCGCAATTCAGGGGAGCGCTGGGGGGAGAGTTGCATGTCGTCAGGCTTTGTAATGAGATCTGGGGCACGCTGATGTCTGTTTCAGATGTGTTTTCAGCCGCACGGATGGAATATTCTGGGGATCCTGTACTGCTGGCAAACAGACTTCAACAGCTGAGCTGTGTGCACAGCCGCGCGGTGACTACCTGCACTACACCATCCAGGCTCGCAAAGCCGCGGAGCACGGCCGAGGGAGACTAGCAAGTGGAGAAGCGCAAACGCGCACCGTCAGGAGTGGCGTTCGGGCACCAGAACCACCCCTTCCCAATACCTTGGTTGAGGGGCAGCGCAATGGTCTTGGGCCCCGCAACACAGGCGGGCCTCTGAGGGGACGGACCCTTTTGCTGGGAAGGGGCCCTTGCGGAATTTGTCCGGGCAACAGCGTGCGCAGTCCAATTCTTGAGAGCTGTTTTCACGCTTCAGATCAGGTGATTGCCACACGCTTATCCAGCCTCCACCCATGTATGTTGGTCGGCACCACTTTCAACTTGGTGCTGGCCTGCCTCATGCAGCCTGCGGCATCGGGTCCATGGTATTGTTTGGGTCAGTGCTTGGGGCGAGCAGGTAATGATGACAGGGGCGTGAACAATTAAGAGATCTGACACCAGTGCAAATGACTTCTGCGCTCCTGCTTGAAACGCCGCATGTAGTACTCACCGTTTTCAACAGCAGTAAAGTTGATTGTTGTGTCGCCCATTGGCACATTCTTGCAGGTGAAACACGCATGGAAGGGAGTGTTGATCTCTGGCCCGCAGATCGCACGGGAGCACAAGGGTGAGTCAACATGGATGTTCTGAGCGTTGTATTTGAACGTCAGCAACCTGACTTGAATGACGGGGCTGTGATCGAACTTGGTAGCAGAAACCATTGACTCAGGGCTTTGGAGGGAATAGAGGCTACAGCCTGGGGAGGAGAAATCCAAGGTGGAGGGTGCGCGCACGTGTGGGTGCGCTGCAACGAAGCAAACGCAAGCCACACAAAAATGCTCTCCCTAAATATCCCGTACGGGAGCACGTCAGGCAGGCGCGGTAGCTTGTGTACAAACTCAGATGTCAGCATCCACAAAGTGTGCAGGCTGATTGACATGACCTGAGGGACATACGTGCGTGCATATGACGTGAGGAGTGTATGCGGTGGTTCACGCGCACCGTGTGTGTCCGGAGATACATTGACTGTGACACTGGCCTCCTTGACACAGCCTGCGCAGGTAGGGTGTTGACGAGTGGTGAGTCATGTCAGTGACCGCCACTTGAGTGGCTCAGGATGCAGGCAAGGGAGGCGCGGGGGGAGGGGGAAACGGAGCGCGGGGGGAGAGGGGAACGAAGCGCCCAGTCCTGTTGGGGAGAAAGGGCGCGGAAATACACACATGCAAATGCGCAGGGTAGCGAGGAAGGCTCAGCAAGTGCGTGCATTGCCGAGCGCCTACAAGCAAACGTCTCTCAATCACTGCACAATTGAGGTTGTGTTATGCAATCATGTGCTTGTGCAAGCATGTGCCTCCAATGTGCCTAAAAATCAGCAACACCCATCTCGACAATTTTGAGGTAAAACGAAGCTCACCTTGACCATCATCGGCCGTGAACTTCACAGTCTGTGACCCCACTTCCAGGCTTGAACATGTCCACGACGCGCCCTCATGCCAGTCACAGGTTAGAGGTGCTTGAACACGTACTTGCTCTTTTTTGTATGTCCCAAGCTTGAGCACAAAGTTTGCCGTGCCCGTGTAGGTTTTGTCGTCGGCCTGCACTGAGGCAGCGGTGGCCTTTGCATCAAGGAGGTAGGCACTACAATCTGTGCAGATCATGTGCGCATGTGCAGGAAAGAGGGCGTGGGGGTGAGGAAGTGCAGAGGCCATGAAGATAAGCGCATTTGCAATCATCAAGAGCAGCAGGATATAGAACAAAACGGTGGCTGATTGACACAAGGAGCCTTTTGACAAGGACAAATCTGGCCTTGTGCGGCGGCAGATGTATGCAACCTCAATCTCAGCATGTGCCAACAGGTGCATTAAAGGTTGCTCGCATGCACCTGACCGCGCAGTGAAGCCAAACCCACCTCTGCTTGGTATCACTTTGACAATTGTTGTAAAACTGGAGAGGCATCCTGCAGTGTGAAGCACGGGCCCTTGCAAGTCAATATCTCTTGTATCAAGACCACGCGCAGTCTACCACTTCAAACAGGTGCAGAATGCATGAAAGACCTGCATGAGCGTGAGTGATTGCCGCTGCATGGCAACGTCCATCTGCGTACGTTCCCCCCTGGGCTGCACTGAAATCGCGTGAGCGCCACGCTGCCATCAGCATGCACTGGCGGTCGGCATGTGAATGCAAATCATTTTGGTTGGTTTGCTTGTGCACAGGGCATTGTGCTTGATGAAGGGCACAGCCATGCATGCGTGTCTCCTGAACAAGAATTGCAACTTCGACAGAACACGTGTTTTGAAGCCACACTTGGCTCACCGTCAGTGACTGTCCCGTCTTCTGCCATCCAATCATTGGCAAAGAACGTGATGCTGTACGAGCCCACGTAACGGTCGCCACACGTCCACGTGTTGCCTGACTTGATCTGACAGTCATTTGTTGTCACCTGACTGGGAGTGTAGCCTTGCAGTTCTAGAGTGACGTCAACAGCGGCTCGCCCGACAGAGTCAGCAATGATCGTTGTCGTGGGGACGCCACTGATGCTGTAGGAGGCACAACCTATGAGCGAAAGCCAGAGGTTGGTGGGCACAGTTGCGCGTGATCCGACGCGCAAGGAGGGGGGCGGCTTGGCAGAGGGGCGGCTTAGCAGACAGCGGTCACCAGCCTTACGTCATGTTCGTTGCATCAGAGGATAATCAAAGTGGAAGCGCTAGCCTGGACTACTATACACGCTGGACCCAAAAGCCCCAGGTACAGAAATGCGCGCATGCTGCGACATGCCTAGCATGTGCGCTGCCTTGTATATGCTTATACCCAGTCAGCCGCCTTGCCTGCGCACACTGCACAGAGCGGGTTCTCATGGCCAGGCAGCGCGTTATTTCAACATGACAACTTGCGAGTCCTCTCACCTGCATCCACTGTACCCAGCACAGCCAGGAGCAGCAGCGCTGTAACGGCAGCTGTCGTGCAGACCCTCATTTTATGCATCGGTGCCACGTTCCTCCTACGTAGTACGACCTGGTCAAGATTAGGGAGTCTGCGTTTGAAAGCAAGTGCACAGCATGCAGGTGGACAGTCAGCGAAGCAACTGGAGTCAGAATTAAAACACCAGGTTTGCGAATATAGAAAAGCCCGGTGCTAGCCAGAGCTGTGTGCCTGACACAACGTGGCCAGGTCTATGGATATGGGGGAGTTCATGATCTGCTGAAGCAGATTTTCGACATTGTCACCACTGCTTCCCCCCGGAAGCAGTGGTGACAATGGGAAGGCAAAGGGCGCGAGGAATGTTTGCAGCGGTATGCTTCCTCAGCAGGGCACGAGGAGGCAGCAGCCGTCACATGGGTGGAGTAACTGCAACAAAATTGCCGTGCAGCGGTGTGCGCACTGCTGGTGTGGCGTGTGCGTGCGCGTGCGCGTGCGCGTGCGCGTGCGCGGGCTCGGGCGCTCTCGTGCACTTGACGTGTGCTCTGCGCGTGACGCATGCTGTACTGTGCATTCTTCACCCCCGTGCGTGCTTGTGTGCGTGCGAGCGTGCGTGCGTGTGTGTGTGTGTGTGTGTGTGTGTGTGTGTGTGTGTGTGTGTGTGTGTGTGTGTGTGTGTGTGTGTGCGCTTGTGAATGCATGCGTGCGCGTGTGTGTATCCCTGTGTGCGCACGCACTCGTGCGTTGGCGGGCGGGTGGGTGGACACGAGTGCATGTATGTGTGCACGCGTACGTGCATGTGTGTGTGCCTATGCACGCACGTGCGCTGGTCTGTTGGTGCGCCGGAACTAAATTGACACAAAAAATGAATCCGGGGGGGATGCTGCACATGCATAACCCGTGTGCACATGCGTGAGGTGTCTGATCATCTGACTGCGTTTAACGACATACCGAACACATCCACTGCACATGCATGTACAGCAGAAACTCAAGTTGGGCAGCGGCGGCCGGGCGGTGGAGCACAGCCCACTGATGACGTGGAGCTTGTAATGCGAACTATTGTCACTGGTCAGCAGTGACTTCCTGCAAGGTTTTTGGGTCCAGCCCTTCTCGCTGCGCTCATTTGCTCGCTCGTGGGCAGCGGTCGGCTTTGATGCAATGACAGCCGCTGATGCAGCCCAGCATCTCAACAGCATTAGCTCCTGGAGAAGATACATCTCTCACAGG